GTTGTGTGTTTGCTATGCTAGGGATGCATGGCGGACGAACGAGCTGCGTATCTGGATTCGTCTCGTCGTTCTGAGCAACTTTCATGTACACAGTTTTTCCATCTGAGCTACGGTTTATTTTATATTAATTTTAAAAGATTTAAATCATTTTTAGGATTATTTAATTATTTTAAATCAACATTATCTAGAATAGTGTTGCTGACGTCATCATGACGTCAGCAGTCAACTGTGACCGTCGACTGGTCAAACTGACAAATGGGGCCCGTTTGTCATAGACTGTTTAATCTAATTAGGTTTTAATTAATTAACACTAGCTAATTAGGTTAAGTAAACATAATTAACTAAGTTAATTAATTAATCTAATTATTTATTTAATATATTTTTTATTATATATTGGTTTAATCTTTTTTTGAAGGTCAGGGAACTTGGGCCTGCATGTAAGTGGCCCAGGGGGTTTGCAGGTGCTGGGCGAAACGGGCAGCAGGCGTCTGGGCGTTGCCGAACCCGGCAGAGGGCTGCGGGGCGCCGGGGGCCACGGCGCTGGCCAGGCGGCCGGAGCGGCAGCCGCCGCGGCAAGTGGAGGCGCGGGGACGCGGGGCAGCGGTGGTCGGCGAGCAGGTGCAGCGGAGCGGAGCGGGGAGCAAGGGGGAGTGGAGCGGTAGCGCAGGTGAGCCGCGCGGTAGGGTGTGGAGCAGCAGCGCCGGTGAGAGGGGTTGCGCGGGCGGGGAGGCCACAGCACGGGCGCTGGTGACCAGCAGGCAGGGATAGGCGGCCTCACGCGGGTGAGCGTGGCAAGGGGTGCGCAGGGCGCGCACGACGGCGGCGGCGGCCAGAGGCGGGAGCGCGCAGACGCGGACCACAAGGTCAAGGACGGCAGCGGGATTGGCGCGGGCACGGGAACAGGACCGCGGCCTTCAACACGCCGAACTGGAGGCGCGGGTGTCTACGACGTCCGATTCGACGGGGAAAAGAGGGGAACGGACGGCAAAGCTCACCGCGAGGGGGTGGATGGCGAGCTTGTCGAGGGTCGGGGTGGACCGGAGTGTCTGGATCGGGCGATGGCGCGCGTCAGCCGCAAATGAGGAAGAAGATGTGAGAGACGAAGACGGGGGCGTCCCGGCTCCAATCTGGTGATGTAGAAGGCGTAGCGAACGACGGTGGCCCTCCTGAGCACCGAGGCGCGGCGAGGGGAAGCCGGTGGTCATGTGAGCGACGGCGACACGCACTGGTCCTCACGGGTGAGCTCAAATCGAAGGGGGTGAGACAAGGGGGAAGAGTATGGGCGGACTAGGGTTCGTGGTGGAGGTGCGGGAGGCCTTGTAGCTGTCGGCGCTATAGGGGGACGACGCCGTGTCGTCCATCCCACGGCGCATCGCGTGCGCGGGCTCGGGCATGCTGCCACAGAAGGGGAGGGAGAAGACAACAGAGATGGGGGAAGGAAGGCTGGGCCGGCCATTAGTTAGGTGGGCCAAAGAGAGCAGTACTTTAGGTCCACCTCTCTTTTCTTTCTTTAATTTTCTTTTATATCTTCTGTTTTCTATTTTGCCACTGTTTAGCATTTTAGTTTAGTACCAAATGACTTTTGTAATAAATGGAATTTAGCACCTAATTCAATCATAGTGTTTAGGGACCACCCACAAATCTTCGGATTATTTTGAAAGGCTTAAATATTGGTTTATTTGAAAAGGCCAAAATAATTGCTGCTGGACCCTTTATTATTTTCCTAGGAATTTATCTGTGAGTCTAAGTCTGTTTGTTTCTACATGACAATTCCCTAGTGAATATTGACAACATCCCCAACATTTTAGTTTTGCAATTTGAAGAAATTCTATTTTGACTTTATTTTCAATTTTGAATTTAAACTTGGTTTGGATTAAGTGAGCTTTAGCAAACTAGTTGCAATGACATGGCACCATTAACAAAGGTTTACTGTAGCTTAATTACCCAGGCGTCACAAATATAATATGAGTTCTGTGATTAATCGTTTGCTATGTCAGTATCTATACATGTTTATTAAATGTATAAGGTATAAAAGCCCTCTTTCTCTAATTTAGAATTAGAAGGAATTCCACTAACAACACAACGTAATAACTCAATTCGTTAGAACAGCTTCCATTGAGTCTCTGCACCTATCCTTTTCCTTTGTATTCTAGTTCGAGAACCCCTTGTTTTCTCAAAACACGGATTTGGCTCAGGATTGCCCTTTTTTAATTCCAGGGTTTCTCTGAATTTTGAAGTTACCACTTAGCAGGTTTCCATACCAAGGCTCAATACAATCAAGTCCGTAGCATCTACTGATTTCGCCATATCCCCATTCCCCTCTTCTTTGAGACCAGGATTCCTTGTGTAATTGCATCCATCTCTTAGTTTTTTTAATCATTGAGTTCATCACTCAACGTCGTCTAGCAGTTTAGTTCGACTCTATTTAGTTGATTTTACTCTGTTGATTTTACTCTATTTATCCTGTAGTCTAATTCGGTTTTAATTTCGATGTATTCTGTAATGTAAATACAATGAAATTAATTGTGTAAAATGAAATTTCAATAAAATAAAAAAAGGAGTCTTCATGTCCCGTTATCAAGGACCTCGTTTAAAAAAATACGCCATCTGGGAGCTTTACCAGGACTCACTAGAAAAACACCTAAATCCGAAAGTAATCTTAAAAAAAATTCAATTGTGGGGAAAAGGAGCAATATCGTATTCGTCTTCAAGAAAAACAGAAATTGCGTTTTCATTATGGTCTGACAGTACTTAGATATTTACATATCGCTGGAAAAGAAAAAAGGTCAACAGGCCAGGTTTTACTACAATTACTTGCAATGCGTTTGGATAATATCCTTTTTCGATTGGGTATGGCTTCAACCATTCCCAGGGCCCGCCAATTAGTCAACCATAGACATATTTTAATTAATGTTCATATAGTCAATATACCATGTTTTCGTTGCAAACCCCGAGATATTATTACTACGAAAGATAACCAAAGATAAAAAGGTCTGGTTCAAAATTATATTACTTCATCGGACCCGGGGAAATTGCCAAAGCATTTGGCGATTGACACGTTGGAATATAAAGGACTAGTAAATAAAATCCTAGATAGGAAGTGGGTCGGTCTCAAAATAAATGAGTTGTTAGTTGTAGAATATTACTCTCGTCAGACTTGAACTTAACGATAAAAGGAAAGGTTCATAGATTTTTCTTCCCCTTCCCCTTTCCCCGAACTAAATCGCCCTAAGACCATTACCATTAATTTGTATTTTCCCATCAACTAGCTAAAATTGATTAACCCTAGGATTAGGATCCTTTTTTTCCTTTTTTCCTCTATGTGTATTTTACATACCACGGTAATTTGCTATAGAGAATTTCTAATTTCTATTAAATCAAAATAATATAATATAAGATATTATATTATTGGTGGAAAATATTGTTATTTGATTTGATACATTGTGATCCTTAACGTTGATGAATTAAGAAAAACGGAAAGAGAGGGATTCGAACCCTCGGTAAACAAAAGTCTATATAGCAGTTCCAATGCTACGCCTTGAACCACTCGGCCATCTCTCCTACATAACTTATTATGGCGAATAAACTGAGTGGATGGCGAGTTTTCTTATTCCTGCAGTACAGGTACAACCGCAACCACTCGGGGGTTCCATAGTTCTATTGGAAAAATTCCTTTTGATCTAAGTGGAAGGATACATGATTTTTTATTAGAAATTGCACTCGCTATAAAATAAAAGTTTTAATTTGGGTTTTCCCGCAACTAAAGAAAAATAAAATGGAAGAAATCTTCTTATTGCATAATAAAATAAAGAAACCTTAGAATTCCGTTTGCATAATATACGCTACACCATACTATCGAAATCAAAAATAGGGTATGAGACAATTAATAACTTTGAAAACACAAAATAGTTTAACATAAGTTGTTGTTCAGAAATAGGAAAGCAGAATGAAATCCAGTCTTAGTCAAATATTTCATATCTCTTCTTATCCATTTAAACATATGGATTTAGAGTAGAGCATATGGATCAATCTATTTATAATTATAAGAATCGAATGTGTTTGTTTTTATGTTATTTTGTGAAGAAATTAAAACAATTCTATATAGAATGGGTTGGGAATTATGCCTAGATCCTGTGTAAATGGAAATTTCATTGATAAGACCTCCTCAATTGTAGCCAATATTTTATTGCGAATAATTCCGACAACCTCAGGAGAAAAAAGGCATTTACTTATTATAGAGATGGTGCGATTTGACTCTTTTTTTTGCTTTTTTTAGCCCTACCTATATCTCAGTCTTACGAAAAAGAGAGGGGGTTGGCATAGAGAGAACCAAATTTGTAAACCAAACAAACCCATGCTTCGGGAAGGTGACGCAAACTAACAATTCCTTTCGTCGTGTATCCTCGATTGATGCGGCTTCAGATACTTCAATTGTAGATTTGAGTATTGAGCGAAAGGTTACACCTACAGGATATGGTATGGTATGGATTACAGGCCAATCCTACTCTATTAGTATTCATAGGCAGCATAGGGGAAAAAAGCACTACACCTAGAAATAGGAATCAAAAAGAGAAAAACTTTGTTAGAAATTACCCCTTTCCTGATCGGTATCAGGGCTGGGAAGAATGGCTGGGATAACAAACAACCATCAGGTTTGTACTTTGGATACCCCTATAACCATCAAAGATCGTTGAAGTAGCTAATTCCTCTAAATAGGAGGCGTTGAGAACAAAGAAATTATTGGAGCTATCGTTTTCCTCTAGCATTAAAAGAATTCATTGGTGTTAAGAAAAACCTCTTGTGGGAAGGTTGGCTAGAGATTTCTTGGAAAAATACCAGCCCCTTTTGGTTCATAATGAGACGGGACTAATTCTATTTTGATGCTATAGATTATTTCGCTTAGTACTATTATGTACAGAAGGGAGGAGCCGTATGGGATGAAAACCTCATGTACAATTTTGGAACGGAGATTTTTTGAATAGAATGAACGACCGTAACGGATGTTGGCTCAATCCGAAGGAAATTATGCGGAAGCTTTGCAAAATTATTATGAAGCTACACGACTAGAAATCGATCCCTATGATCAAATTTATGTACTCTATAACATAGGCTTTATACACACAAGCAATGGAGAGCATATAAAGGCTTTGGAATATTATTTACGGGCAATAGAACGGGACCCCTTCTTACCGCTAGCTATTAATAATATGGCCGTGATCTGTCATTACGTGCGACTATCTCCACTATAGGAAAAAAAGAGGATCAAATTTTCTAGTAAATACTAGAAAAAGGGCTTTCTACATAGGGATCGTAAAAACAACGATTTTCCCTATCAGTTGTAGGAAGGAAGGACACTTCACGAGAATCAAAAAACGAAGAAAGTATGGCCTATACTACTACTCTATGGATAAAGTTTCTCAAATTGATAGAGAAAGCACCGTAAAGATCAATTAGTGAGCGACTGGGTCGATAAAACTAAAAAAACTGCTTACTTATCCCATGATATGGGGCAAAATTTAGGAATCCGCTTATGTAATAGAGCCGATCCACTAAGGGATTAAGCAGCGGTGTAGTATCAGATCCCAAAGATAGTTCCTTTTTCTTTCTTATGGGAAAAAGTCTTTTTCAAGGATTCTATAGACATTTCATATATCAAACCGGGATAGTTACCTTTCAGAAAATTTGAATGAAGCCTCTATATCTATCTATACTTCATTCTTCTGAAGGCGGGAAAAAACAAACTGATTATTGATAAAAAAATTAGGGTTTGAAACTTAGGCAATTTATTTCTTCTGCTTAAACCAAGAAGAAATTGGATCAATTTTTGATATCGAATTCAGTTAAGATAGGGGAAATTCAGATAGCAATTTCTGAGCTGTATGAGGTAGGAAACTCTCAAGTACGGTTCTAAGGGAAGGAACTTCCTATTCCGACCGAGGAGAATAGGCCATTCTACAGGGTGATTGGGAAATTACGGAAGCTTGGTTTGATCAAGCTGCTGAATATTGGAAACAAGCTATAGCGCTTACTCCGGGAAATTATATTGAAGCACAGAACTGGTTGAAGATTACGAAGCGCTTTGAATTTGAATAAGACCATGCTCCTTCTTTTTCATAAAATGGGTGGATTGGTTGTTGATCCATTAATCTAATAAATTAGGTCGTAAGATCGAATCAAGAATTTCATTATATCCATTTCTTATACCTTCTATTTTATATGATATTTCATAAGAGTAAACCATAGGGATAGGGTCTAGAATAGAAGTAATAAAGTGAATAAAAGAGTGGGCAATCTAAATATTGCTAATATATTATGACCATCTTATTAATAATTCTAATGAGTTATCTTGGAATTTAGAATCAAATAAAAAACCCTATATTATGCTCAAGCAAAGTAGATATAGATAGGAGCTTATGCCCTCAAAAAAAATACACTAGTTTCTGAAATTAAAAATAAAAAAGATTTTTTTCTTACATCGAGAAATATTTGTTTTTCAAGATAAACAATGTCTGTTAGGCACCTAATCTTTATGTCATAATGACCCAAACTCTTGCCTCGGATTGACTTCAATATATAATTGCTCCAGTGAATAACTAAAAAATAGAAGGATGGTAGATAGTAAAGAAAAGAACTAATCACAATATCTATCTTTCGAAATCTATCTTTCAAAATATATATCTTTCAAAGATTCACTAGAAAGACAGTTGGCGAATCTCTTTCTATGTCTTGTCCGGAAAGAGGAGGACTTAATGATTATTCGTTCGCCGGAACCAGAAGTAAAAATTGTTGTGGATAGGGATCCTGTAAAAACATCTTTTGAGGAATGGGACAGACCCGGCCATTTCTCAAGAACACTATCTAAGGGCCCTGATACTACCTCTTGGATCTGGAACCTACATGCTGATGCTCACGATTTTGATAGTCATACTGGGGATTTGGAGAAATTTCTCGAAAAGTCTTTAGTGCTCATTTCGGGCAACTTTCCATTATCTTTCTTTGGTTGAGTGGCATGTACTTTCATGGCGCCCGTTTTTCCAATTATGAAGCATGGCTAAGTGATCCTACTCACATTGGACCCAGTGCTAAGGTAGTTTGGCCTATAGTGGGGCAAGAAATATTGAATGGTGATGTAGGAGGGGGTTTCTAAGGAATCCAAATAACCTTTGGTTTTTCTCAGCTTTGGCGAGCATCTGGAATAACTAGTGAATTACAACTCTATTGTACTTCAATTGGTGCATTGATTTTTGCAACGTTAATGCTTTTTGCTGGTTGGTTCCATTATCACAAAGCCGCTCCCAAATTGGCCTGGTTCCAAGACGTAGAATCCATGTTGAATCACCACTTAGCAGGATTATTAGGACTTGTGTCCCTTTCTTGGGCGGGGCACCAAATTCATGTATCTTTACCAATTAACCAATTTCATGACGCTGGGGTGGATCCTAAAGAGATACCACTTCCTCATGAATTTATCTTGAATCGGGACCTTTTGGCTCAACTTTATCCTAGTTTTGCCGAAGGAGCAACCCCTTTTTTCACTTGAAATTGGTCCAAATACGCAGAATCTCTGACTTTTTGCGGAGGACTAGATCCAGTAACCGGTGGTGTCTGTCTGACCGATATTGCGCACCATCATTTAGCTATTACTATTCTTTTCCTAATCGCATGTCATATGTATAGGACCAATTGGGGTATTGGCCATGAACTTAAAGATATTTTGGAGGCTCACAAGGGCCCATTTACAAGACAAGGCCATAAGGGTCTTTATTAAATATTAACAACGTCATGGCATGCTCAATTATCTCTTAACCTAGCTATGCTAGGCTCTACAACCATTGTTGTAGCTCATCATATGTATTCTATGCCTCCCTATCCATACCTAGCTACTGACTATGGTACACAACTTTCCTTGTTCACAGACCACATGTGGATTGGCGGATTTCTAATAGTCGGTGCTGCTGCACATGCAGCAATTTTTATGGTAAGAGACTATGATCCAACTACTCGAGACAACGATCTATTAGATCGCGTCCTTAGACACCGCGATGCAATCATATCCCACCTTAACTAGGTATATATATTTCTAGGTTTTCACAGTTTTGGCTTGTACATTCATAATGATACCATGAGTGCTTTAGGCCATCCACAAGATATGTTTTCGGATACTGCCATACAATTACAACCTATCTTTGCTCAATGGGTACAAAATATCCATGCTACTGCACCTGGCGTAACAGCTCATGGTGCAACAACAAGTACTAGCTTAACGTGGGGAGGCGGCGAGTTAGTAGCAGTAGGTGGCAAAGTGGCTTTGTTACCTATTCCATTAGGAACCGCAGATTTTTTAGTCAACACATTCATGCATTTACCATACATGTGACTGTATTAATACTTTTGAAAGGTGTTTTATTTGCCCGGAGTTCCCGTTTGATACCCGATAAAGCAAATCTAGGTTTTCGCTTTCCTTGCGATGGGCCTGGCCGAGGGGGAACATGTCAAGTATCCGCCTGGGATCATGTTTTCTTAGGTTTATTCTGGATGTACAATGCAATTTCGGTAGTCATTTTCCATTTCAGTTGGAAAATGCAATCAGATGTTTGGGGTACTATAAGTGATCAAGGGGTGGTAACTCATATTACAGGGGGAAACTTTGCACAGAGTTCCATTACGATTAATGGGTGGCTTCGAGATTTCTTGTGGGCACAAGCATCGCAAGTCATTCAGTCTTATGGTTCTTCATTATCTGCATATGGTCTCTTTTTCTTAGGTGCTCATATTGTTTGGGCCTTCAGTTTAATGTTTTTATTCAGCGACCGTGGTTATTGGAAAGAACTCATTGAATCTATCATTTGGGCTCATAACAAATTAAAAGTTGCTCCTACTACTCAGCCTAGAGCCTTGAGCATTATACAAGGACGCGTTGTAGGAGTAACCCATTACCTTTTGGATGGAATTGCCACGACATGGGCATTCTTCTCAGTGAGAATTATTGCAGTAGGATAGTGGCTAGGAGGATTTGAAAGGCATTATGGAATTAAGATTTCCCAGGTTTAGCCAAGGCTGAGCTCAGGACCCCACTACTCGTCGTATTTGGTTTGGTATTGCTACCGCACATGATTTCGAAAGTCATGATGATATTACTAAAGAACGTCTTTATCAGAACATTTTTGCTTCTCACTTTGGGCAATTAGCAATAATCTTTCTATGGGCGTCCGGAAATCTGTTTCATGTAGCTTGGCAAGGAAATTTTGAATCATGGATACAAGATCCTTTACATGTAAGACCTATTGCTCATGCGATTTGGGATCCTCATTATGGTCAACCTGCTGTGGAAGCCTTTACTCGAGGAGGTGCTGCTGGTCCAGTGAATATTGCTTATTCTAGAGTTTATCAGTGGTGGTATACAATAGGATTACACACCAATGAGGATCTTTATACTGGAGCTCTTTTTCTATTATTTCTTTCTACGTTGTCCTTAATAGCGGGTTGGTTACATCTACAACCCAAATGGAAACCAAGCCTTTCATGGTTTAAAAACACGGAATGTCGTCTCAATCATCATTTGTCAGGACTTTTCGGGGTAAGTTCTTTCGCTTGGACATGACATTTAGTTCATGTTGCTATTCCCGCATCCAGGGGGAGTACGTTCGATGGAATAATTTCTTAGATGTATTACCCTATCCCCAGGGGTTGGGACCCCTTTTGATGGTTCAATGGAATCTTTATGCCTAAAACCCTGATTCGAGTAATCATTTATTTGGTACCGCTTAAGGAGCGGGAACTGCCATTCTAACTCTTCTTGGGGGATTCCATCCACAAACACAAAGTTTGTGGCTGACCGATATGGCTCACCATCATTTAGCTATTGCATTTATTTTTCTCATTGCTGGTCACATGTATCGAACTAACTTCGGAATTGGGCACAGTATTAAAGATCTTTTAGAAGGCATACTCCTCCGGGGGGTCGATTAGGGCGTGCTATGACACAATCAACAATTCGATTCATTTTCAGTTAGGTCTTGCTCTAGCTTCTTTAGGGGTTATTACTTCCTTAGTAGCTCAACATATGTACTCTTTACCTCCTTATGCATTCATAGCACAAGACTTTACTACTCAAGCTGCTTTATATACACATCACCAATATATTGCAGGGTTCATCATGACAGGGGCTTTTGCTCATGGAGCTATTTTTTCATTAGGGATTACAATCTGGAACAGAATGAGGATAATGTATTGGCAAGAATGTTAGACCATAAAGAAGCTAGCATATCTCATTTAAGTTGGGCTAGCCTCTTTCTAGGATTCCATACCTTGGGCCTTTATGTTCATAATGACGTCATGCTTGCTTTTGGTACTCCAAAAAAGCAAATCTTGATCGAACCTATATTTGCCCAATGGATGCAATCTGCTCATGGCAAGACGACATATGGGTTTGATATACTCTTATCTTCAACGAATGGGCCCGCTTTCATTGCGGGTCGAAGCCTATGGTTGCCCGGATGGTTGAATGCTGTTAATGAGAATAGTAATTCGCTTTTCTTAACAATAGGACCTGGGGATTTCTTGGTTCATCATGCTATTGCTCTAGGTTTGCATACAACTACATTGATTTTAGTAAAGGGTGCTTTAGATGCACGCGGTTCCAAATTAATGCCAGATAAAAAGGATTTTGGAAATAGTTTTCCTTGTGACGGCCAAGGGCACAACGGTACTTGTGATATTTCTGTTTGGGACACATTTTATTTGTCAGTTTTCTGGATGTTAAATACCATTGGGTGGGTTACTTTTTATTGGCATTGGAAACATATCACATTATGGCAGGGCAACGTTTCACAATTTAATGAATCCTCCACTTATTTGATGGGATGGTTCAGAGATTACCTATGGTTAAACTCTTCACAACTTATCAATGGATATAATCCTTTTGGGATGAATAGTTTATCGGTATG